GATCATGTTCACATAGGTCTTAACGATATTTTCAATGGTCCTTTAACTCGAATCATTGAATATTTATACTGTTTACTGTTATATATATAGTTGATAAACAACCACACAAATCACGGAAATTACAGAGCAGAATTCAAGTAAAGGAAAGGTAAAATCTCGTCAAAATGTCAAATTGTTTACATGTCTATCCATAACAGTATCTTTTGGATGGGGGGCGGCGCCGAAAATAATGCTTATATTTTTTAGCAACATTTCTCAAACGAAAACATGTGTTTGGGGCCCCCAATAGGACATTTTTTCACTATTTTAGACCTAAAAAAAGGGGGGGGGGGTCGAAAGTGCGTTGTTTCGCGTATATATGAGGTAAAGGGTTAAGAAAATCTTAACCTGGACCGTGCAATTTTAAATCAAAAATCTGCAAATAATAAATAGGAACGACTATACAGCTCTTTAACCATATCTAATTAATTTAAAGATCAACAAGGCAAAGGTCTTCCTGCGATGACACGCGCCCCAGGCCGTGCCAGATGTACTCCTGACCATCGACTTCCCAGGGGCGGTCGGGAGTCAGGAGTACCCCCGACTTCACGATGAGCCCTATACAAAGGTGTCGGAGGTCACAGTTTTCGCGATCTTATATAATCTAATTAGGGAATGGCTGTATCGAATGCCAAAAGAAGAAAACATTTCTTTTGTATACTGTGGATAGAAATGACACATTTTATAAATTGAAAAATGACATTAGATTTTGAAACAGGGAAGTGGAGTTGATAAGTACTTCATTACCTAACCAGCATCTTCTGACATTTCCTTTAGAAATGGTCTAATTAAAATGTGGGAAACTATAAATTTGTGCCACTAGGTGTCCCCAAACGAAACAGTGACGCAGCACTTCTGATGTTCGGAAAAAAGAAAGTTATATTTTTATAATTACACATTTGTCAATGACTTAAATTCTACTTAGTATACACTTAACAAATTTCCCTAATTTTAGTCATTCTTGTTTATTATTAGTATTCATTAATTCAGATGTTTTAATAATAGTTGGTCTTCTATAATAATAAGGTTTTAAGAAGTGCTTGCGCTCATTTTCAAAGATTCTGCATGACGTACATAGTCTATTATTTAATTGAATTCTTGTCCAGTTTCCGGTTTCTATTGGAAGATGGTGGATCGTATCAATGAAAAAAGAATTCTTGGCCTTGGGAAGGATAAGAATGAATCTCTCTCTCCCTCTAATTTGCATTTAAAAAGTTTATAGAAGCTAGCCTTAGTAGAATTTTCTACATAAGCATATCATTCGTTAATAAACAAATCTTTAATTTTTGTCGTAATGAAAGTTTAACCCATTTACTGTTTGGGAAATGATGGTTCGTCCATATGTGTATCATTCCACATTTGGTAAAAATTTCCTTCATATTATAAAACCAATGATGTTTTCAAAACCTCATATTTCAGATCCATAAAAAAATATAGGTTTGTTGGTTTTATTGAACATATCAATCTGTAAATTATCTGTTTGAATTTTTAATTAAGATACACATAGGGCGAGTTGGTTGTGAAGATAAATGTTTCTTACAATTAAAAAGAGACCCGCTTTTACTAAAATATATTCCAAAGTACTTATTATCTTGCACTATTTCTTACTGTTGGTTTTTAAATGAAAACTGATATTGAAGGCATTCTTCCTTTTGAGAAAATTAAATTTTTGGGTTTTTCAATGTTTACGTTTATCTTCCAAGTATCCAATATTCTACGTATACATCAAGAGAGTTTTTTATTCACCTTCAATGTAAGCTATATTTTCTGGGATCAGAATGATTTAATTTTCTTAATTTTCCTATAATTTTATTATAAGATTTATTATAAAAAAAGTTTCATGGTTTCTTTATACATTTTACATTTTGCTTTAATGTTTTCTTTATTTGTATCTGATTTTCGGAGTTTATAAAGATATTTTGCCTTATGAAATTGTTTACGCTAAGTTTTACATGTATGCCCAAACCACGCCGATGAATCTTCATTATTGATGTTTTTATTTTTGCGCACAAAATGATGTTTTAGATGATCGAAGAAATAAAGAAGCAATATCTGATGTGATATTTTCAACAGTTTATTGGTTAAAATTTTCTTTGATTTCCTGATTATCTAAGTTATCTGATTTTCTACATACTTCATTCAAATCTATATTATTATTATTAACTTCATCATCTTCATCACTATTGTTATACATGTAATTATCATCGTTATTATTGTCATCGTAATTGCTATTATTATTACTTCTATTATACATACAATACAAATAACTTTATTGCGAATAAAACATTATTACAATGTATATAGCAAAACAAAACATATATGTACATTCATGAAAATGAGATCTGACATGGAATGAAAATATAATAATAACACTATTTCCTGAAAGGTCTTGAAATACTGAGGAAATGGCAGGTTGCGTGGCAGTTAGAGCTATTATTAACGAAAAGATCTAGTTGTTCTTTTCCAAATGGCACTGTTCTTATATAATTTTAAAGAAAATGTGTCAGAAATTTAAAGAATATAATTCTATCTTTGCTCTTATAGTATTGTAGCCGTAAATTAAGTACTCAGCAAAATGTAATGCCGTAACCTCCGACAAAAAAAAAACACAACAGTTTATAATAGTGGCTGGCAATTGATTGATTATGAATATAAAGATAATATTGTAAATTACGCTACAGAAAGTCACACACATATATACAAAATGTTGTAAAATTAACATTGAATTCAACAGTTCTAAACAGTATATGATGGTGATATGAAGTTGGAATTAACATATTACCTTATTATATAATACATGTTATAGTAACAAAAATACATGAGAGACTCTGTTAACTTAGTGTAGAAGAAAAATAACAACGCATATGTTCGGTAAAATGCGCAACACAGTTCTAGATAACTAAAAACATAAAACATGTACTAAATGTCTGTCAATAATTGATATTGGGCTTTTAAACAATGTCTGTTACAAAAGAGAAATCGACACTCCATGATAGAATTTAGAATCGCATAAATAAACAAGACTAAGAAATTAACAGTATTATCCTGGTCCATTCGATTGGGAACCAGTTACCATTTCTTATATTTAAATGGTTGGGCCATTCACAATTAGACAGGTTACCTCTAATGGGTGATAATATGCCATTTTTACAAATTGATTATACGAGGGTTGTTCGGAAAGTTTTGAGACTGGGTCAATATTTAGCGTTGGAAAAGATAAAATCAAACAAGAGTTTACTATGTATTACTTTAATACCTCATCTATTATAGTGTAAAATTTCATAACAATAGCTTCATGTATACAAAAGCTACAAAGCGTTAGGCACAGACACTACCGGTGACCCGGCGCACGCAACGACGTTATCCGACGTTGCCGTTATTTCAGTTTGATCCTGATCTTGATCCTGATCCTTAAATCTTTGTGAACACGGGGCCTGAGTTTAACGTCGCCGTAGAAAAGTCAACTGCTACTCCTTTTCAAAGTATCTTCCTTCACAACGTACACATTTCTCATGCCTCGTAACCCACTTGGCGAATACATTTCTATACCAGTCAGATTTAAATGTTGCAATAAGGGTGAGTAGGGTGGGTGAGCGATGCGGTTAAACCCGAGAACATCAAGTTCCAGAGAAGTGGCAGATGCTGTATGCGCAGGCGCATTGTCTTGATGTAGGTAGATGTTCTCCAGATTCGCAAGCATTTCCGGCCGCTTCTTACGGATAGCGTTGATCAGTTCCCGTCTGATTACCTTAAACAGAAATATCGGAGCTCGTACTTAATACAGATACAGGTGAATTAATTTCAAATAATTATTTTAATAATTAAGTAAGTAATCAATTTAATTATCTATATTATTCATATATTTATTTTTAATTATTTTCATGTTAAATAAAGTTAACATAATTACTCACCCTGCAGTAATAGTCAGCGTTCACCGTCTCTCCCTTCGGTACAGCATGTGTTAACAGCATCCCCTTCCGGTCCATGAATAGAATAAACATATGTTTCCCAACGGATTTGGTTACACGTGCTTTCTTCGGGGGTGGAGACGACGTGTGCTTCCAAACTGAAGACTGCGACTTTGTTTCTGGGTCGTAGTAGTAAAACCAGGACTCGTCGGTGGTAATAATTCTGTCTAAGAACGCGTCGCCTTCTCTCTGGTATGAACGTAGAAACTGTCGAGATGCTTTTACTCGGTTTTCTTCCTGATCAGCCGTCAATAATCTCGGTACCCAACGGGCCGAAACCCGAGACATTGCAAGTGTCTCAGTTAACATTTTGTGAGCAGTTGCCGTACCTACATCACAAACTTCTGCAACTTCTCTTACTGTTATGCGACGGTCGCACTGAAGCGCGTTTCTTGCAAGTGTCAGTTTATCGTCGATGACGGATGGGCGACCGCTCCTTTCCTTGTCTTTTGTTGACTTTCTGCCATCCCGAAACTCTTTATGCCATCTAAATACCAATGGTCGACTAACAGTACGTCCGTTGTTTGCCTGTTCTAGAAGTTGCTTAGTTTCTGTTGGCGTTTTCCCAAGATTAACGCAAAACTTAATAAAAACACGCTGTTCCTCTTTTGACGGTGTTTCCATAGTCGTTGTCTTGTCGCGCACGTATTGCTATAATGATCTGCGGTAACGGCTTAAACAACTAGCGGAAATGACGTCCTTAAGTTGGAAGTGACGTCATAAAATTTTCGTGACGTTTGGCGCAATTTTAGGGGCTCTTTTTATTCAGTAAGAAAACTTATAACAAGAAAATAGTCCGTGCGCCAGGATGCGTAGACAGGTGTTGCTATGGAAACGATTATATGTCGTATAGTAGCGTTACAACGTTTTAAAGACATAACTCGGATAAATAACATATTAAGCTATAATTTGTATTAAATAATATTCGCAGCTGTAATTAGAAACAGAGAAAATCATATTGTCTCAAAACTTTCCGAACAACCCTCGTATATACCGTAAAAACTGCAAAACAAAAACAAACAGGCGTTTACATACTGACATGTTAATAAAATTTTATAATACTGAACGTTTGTAACGTCAATTGGGATTGGATTATCGTGATGTTATTTATATGAAACCTTATAATACTGCACGCTTGTAACGTCGCCTTTCATTGGATAATCGTGACGTTGATATAGTTTTATATACTCTCGCTTTATTACTCTAAAAATGATACTTGCTGTATTACAAATTCGTTATAAATAATTCTAATAGGTTATATGATCGTATATTAACGGTTGCTTGTAATATAACCCTCGCCTAGCGTTTATATAGGGCCATATAACCTGTCAAAATCTTAATAACTAATAATGTAAACGTCACGATAAACCACTGAAAAGCGACGTTACAAACGTGCAGTATTATACAGGTTTTTTTTATAATACTGTATAGTACGTTTCCAACGTCGCTTTTCATTGGATAATCGTGACGTTTATATAGTTCTTGTCGATTCATAAAGTAATCATACTTTTTTCTCTAAAATATAATGATTGCTGTGTTATAAATTCGTTATAAAGATTGCTGAAAGGTTATATAACCGTATATAAACCTTAACCTAGCGGCTCGGATTATATTTACAAATAGCCGTTTATATAGGGCCATATAATCTGTCAAAAATCTTTATAATCTATAATATATACCAATTATTGTAATGAATAATTCAAATGGTAGTGAACATCGGACAAAAATGTGAACCGTTATAAAAGCTGACAGCTAACACAACTAGCGTCATTTTGTAGAGATAAATTTTGATTATGATAGAAAAATTGCCACATTCTTTACAAACTTGATAACGTTCCTATTGTTAAATTGGCTAGATTAGACTATAAAAGTCTTTTATTAACCGTGTTACAGATATAACTTAAACCATATTATTTTATAAACACGATAAGATATTGTCTCATTCTTTGCAAACTCGATAACGTTTCTAAAGCTAGATTTGTTAGATTAGACTTTAGTCTATTATTTACGATATAAGATATATCTTAGTTATTACTTATAAACACGACAACATAAAGTCAGACAGGTTGTTAACTGATACATGTACACTGTTAAATAATGTATGAACTGAGCTTAAATGTTTTAATTGTTAGTAGATATAATTATTACTTATATAGATATAACACATGACTTTTAAATTGTTTGTAAAATATTCCATCGACCCAGCCAATGTTACATTATTTGTAAGAACACATGGACTTACATTTATGACATTTCCCATTGGCTTGCTTTATGACATAACGCTTCCCTAGACATATCATCTCTCAAATAAAAAGTTAGCGTTCAATATATCAGAATGATATTGTAATTATCATAAACTTCCTTTCTGATCACTCTTATTGTATCAAATGTTTTCATTTTATACTATCAAATCCAACAAAGACGAACAGACATTCTGCCACGAAGTCATCATTGTGTAATCTTGGTTTTCAAAAGCCCAAAGTACTCTGACGTTACTTTTGAAGAGAGATTTCATCACTGGTGTCATTAATGACTCGTCAACCATTCCTTTTATGAAAAGTACGATTGGTTTTTGAAGTCGATAAGCCATATCTAATTCATTGTGACAATAAGGACTTGAGTTGTAATTATCTGACACAACCACAATGAAGGCCGAAGCTCTTTCTATACACAGTGATATTTCGTCCAAAATCCCGAAACCTGGTCTCAGATATAGATCACCTGTACATATCAAGTTTCTGTCTATACCGGTCATTTGTTGGAGAGTTTCATTGAAATCATCAATCAAAGAGTTATCTACAAAATCTTTGTCCTCACTGCTGTATGAAAGAAATGCAACAAATTCGCTTTGACCTTGACCTTCTTGTAGCCTGTTTACTAATTCTCCTCTTTTCTTTCTGTAAGTAGCTCGTTCACGGCGTTTGAATACAACCAATATGACTACTAAAACAATAATAATAGTAAATCCCACAGATAAAGTGGTTGATATAATCATGACCCTCCGTTTACAAATGTTGTTGACATCATTCAATGTATGTTTATCTATTTTCCGTCTTGTATTCTTTAAGGTAGTACAAGCAAGATTTGGTGCGGAAATACTCACAGAGTTTGTATGTGTTAACCAGTAGATAAATTGTTTTGCCTCACAGTTTGAACATGATATAGGGTTATTCCCAAGATCCAAAGTCCATGTTGTGTTTCCTAGTGTGTTGAATATACTGTTAAGGTTATTGATCGAAAGAGTGTTTAAGATTTTTATCCTGTTAAATTGAAGATTAAGAACCTTCAGTTTGTACAGATGTTTTAATGTGAATGTCACTTGCTCCAGTTCATTATGAGAACAGTCTATCAGTTCAAGGCCACGATTTTCAGTGAAAAGATTTTCCGGTATAACTTGAAGTCGATTAAATGATAAGTTAATAGAAATTAGACAAGAAAGTGATTGGAACAGTTGCTGAAACAACAAATGGTTTTCTTTTGCCATTTTATGTAACTTGTTGTTTGACAAGTCAAGTTTTTCAAGGTTAGGGGCACATCCTAATATACTAGGATGAAGAAATTCCATTTGGTTTCCAGCTGCATTTATGTGCTTTATTGTATTAACTTTATTTCTGGGGCATTCGGTCTTGACATCTAAATGTTTAACATTATTATTCTTTATTATAAATTCTTCAATTTTCACGTGAAATGGTACATCAGCTATGTATGTGGAGTTTTCAATATGAATTGATCCTGGATCATTTATACGGGAAGTCATGTTGACTATTTTAGGATAAAAAAAATAATTCCACGATTTAGGAAATTCGGAATATTTCCATGTCATGTTGACAAATCTTGTGGTTGGAATTAACCAAGATACTGGTACATGACACATATCAAACATATTGATATTCTTTAACCTTTGAACTTCACTTTTGTTACCATATATAAAGTTTGATGCTGTACTATGAGATATATTCACATTTTTCAATGTTTGTATGTATTGTAAACTAGCGGCTGTGTTTATTTCTGTGATTTTTGTATAACTGAATTCTAGAGATGTTATTTGTTTATCACCAAGTGCCTCGGCAAATTTTGTGTCAAAACTGATTCCTCCATTGTAGATATTTAAATTTGATGCCTTCAAAGTTTCCAAGCTTGGAAGTTTATTTGACCCTGTAAAACTTTTTACAAGTTCTGTCAGATTTACATGAACGCATTCACTTAAATCTAAGAATTTTAGATTGTCAAGTCCTACAAAAAGATCTGAATCTAGCTGAATCTGTGTTTGAAGATTCATATGTAACTCTCGAAGTGATTTCAATCCGATGAAACACTTCTCCATGAAAATGATTTCTGAAAGTGGTTCATGATCACTTCCCTGTAACTGAAGTTCAGTTACATCTTCCCAGTTTTTTGACATAAAGTATGAACTATTGAATTCAAATGTTTCGTTTTTCCCAAAAAAACCTATGATTCTAACACGCGTGAATCCATTTGGAATATCCTTTGGAATATAATTACATTGTAGTGTTCTTGTATCCACTTCATTACATTCATAGTTTATAGCACCTACAGTCGACCAGACAATAAATATTATTGCGAAGAAATATATTAAATCCATGTTGTTGCTTTTTTCCCACAATATTTAAACAATTACAGTCGGGGCCTTCTTAAAGAGGAAGAAGAGTTATAATTGTACATGCCATCTAGAATATTTCACATTAAAACTGGGAACAAAAAAATCAACAAGGAAGTACGACATTCAATTATACCTATCGACTTGTAAAGTACAAATGAGAATTTTAATACGTATTAACGTCATATTATCTATTTTCAAACACAATCTGTTTTGAATGTATAGGCAGTGATGCTTGACAATCCATTTTAACTATTGTATGAAAGTATATAGCGGATGTATTTACATTATCTTTTTTTACTCAATTTGTATTGTTCTACTTTCTTATTGGTTAATTGTGTTTGCTAATCATAATTAAGCTTTAGCTATGTTATGTTTTTAGTTCTGTTCATCTTGTACAATGTCATTAATATGTAACGCCTGTAAAGGCCCATATTCTATTCTCCTACTCTATTCTTTTCTATTCTATTTTATTCTATTCTATTCTATTCTATTATTACATTACATTACATTTGTATATATACCAATTGTTGTAATGAATAAATCAAATAGCAGCGAACATCGGACAAAAACAAAAATCTATCCTCCATCTGATTTCAGATTTAATTGTTAAGTAATGAATCACGTTTCCCCGGATGTTTTTGTAGTGTTTTTTTTCATCTTTTGTTTTGCATTATATCGCCTTTTGATTACGTCTTTTGATTCTGCGTTTTTTAAGAAATAATATATCCCAAACAATGATTTTATAGCTATATAAAATCACTGTTTGGAGTTCGGGTGTGATATATTATATTGCGAGGGTTTAAAGAACATACTCCACATTGCATAACAGTCACAAAACACCACACATCAACAGTAACAATGAAGAGGTTTTCCGGTGCCTTGCGCTGCTTAATATTTCATTTCAATTTTGTTATAAATTATATCATATAGGTCAAGATACTTTATTTCATTTACAATTAAATAAGTTGTTGATATATTTTAACAATATATACATGTAGTAAAAAAATAAAAAGAAAAAAAAAGAAGCGTTTTTGGTATTATTCTATTTTATTGACAGTGTATTTCTAATTTGTTATGTTTCTACATAATTCAATAACAGTATTCATCCTACACTTAATATACAACAACCGTTTTTGGACGGTCCGGTTGCTGACTATTGTAAGGAGGTATATTTTGTTTTTCAAATAGTTTATAAAATTTGAAACATTTAATGTGACATTATGTTTATTTTTCGGTGTCAACTTGATGCGAATTAACTTTATACTTCAAAAGACTGACTATTTTAATGGTGAATGACCAATAACTGATAATTACAAAAGTTTAGGATAAATTGTAAAAAAGCCTTAAATATAAAAAGACTACCCCAATCTTTTTATCAACAGAGCATTTCGCCTCGTGTGATTTATTAACATGAAATTGGAAATAAATATGAAAAATGAAAACCTTTTGACATTTTTAAATTTTGAACTAAGTATATTATTGACTTTTTGAAAATACATGTAATAAAAAACATGCCTAGAGCTATTAACATTAAATTCAGGCGACTTAATTCCCACTTTACCATCATATACTTATTAAAGAATAAAATATTCAACAGATAACTCACACAAGTCTCTTTGCATAAACATGTTGTAGTTGCCTACCCTTTTTAGTTTCACAATCGATTTCAAACTTCAAATACGTATATGTTCCTTATCAATAACTACATGTATATCACATGTGATAAACGTTCTTAACACCTGTACCAATTTTTTCCATAAATATCTCAGTATTGAACTTAATAATATTATTTGTTTGACTTAGATCATCTAAAAACAAAGTTGTCATCGTAAGCTATTGTGATCGCAATTTGACCGGCTTACATCTTCTGTCAGTGTGGGCAAACATCATCTGGTTTATGAGTTTCGTTACATTCATTTTCTTTTATTTTGTTAAAAAAGAAGAAACCCACATAAACCGTTGGTTTGAATGGAAATTTTCACTGGATTATGAGCCTTCGACTGTTGAAACGATATCTCTAACGAAACCCTTTGGCCAAATTTGATGAAACTTACCTGTGATGCTGTTAGAATGAAACTCTATCAAAACAAAGGTGTATGGCTCATTAAATGTTCACAAACTATGTATTTGATGGTAGAAAACATTTACCCTAAGTCAGAAATGAATTCTAAGTCCATTCCCATTACACTATATACTAATATATAGACAAGGGTAACAACCCATAAGAAGGTGTCTATGCCCAATCAGGGCTTTTACCCTGCAGTTTTTTATACGATATAGCATAAATAAAAAGGAATTATGCAATATGTAGTCGAATAATTTATCTATCGAACCAATTTTAAACTTTCCTTATATCTCTTATACTTAACGAGTACTGGCCGCAAAAGTAACAAAAAACTATTCATTTACGCTAGGTCGACATCGATCGTGGTTACGCAGGCAACACAAAGTTACACGACTGTTGCAATCTTTAGAGATAATATCACAAGCATTTACCATGCTGGGCAATTAAAAGTCATAAAAGTAATCAAAATATTCCAATAACCTATAATGACAATATGATATAAAGTCATCTGCGGCTTCAGAATATTTCCACGTTGAAATTTCTATAAGAACACCACCATCTTGGCGAATATAAACAACTGTCATCTGATTGGTCGTTTTTTTTCCCCGGAAATTTACAGGTATATGTTCGGGAAATGAATCCATAGAATAAAAATAGAAGAACCCAATATATTTCCATCAAATAGAATTTATTTACATTATTGCACTAACATGAACATATAATGTAAGAAAAAGATCAATTTCAATTAAAAAAAAGTTACTATCACAGATTTTACGTCAGAATTTATGATTTGTCCAGCTAAGATAGGCGCGTAATTATGTTTGTCTCTCTTTCTAAGGAGAAAATCTCGCTCTTCCTTGTTGCTATGACGACGTCTCCATGCAACAACACTTATTACAGACACAAATGCTACAATCAGAACACCTGCTACAGTGGCGATGATTGTCATTGAAACAGAGCTTGCAATTTGAGTCTGCAATTCTCTTGTAATTTTGTTGTGATTAATGCTTCCGAGGGATCACATTGTTTCCAGATTTTTATACTTCACAACAGCAGGTGTCCAGCTGTAAAAAGTTGCCCCATACTTCACTTTAGTGTTGTTATATTTTTCTGGTCCTTCGGGATCATTGATGCCAGCACTATTAAGTGTTGAGAATTGAGTACCGCTCAAGCCGGTGCTAGGGGGCGTGAGGGATGTTGCACTTCTTCAGTATCCCTCATGTACAGACTCAATCAAACCGAGTCTGCAATTCTCTTGTAATTTTGTTGTGATTAATGCTTCCGAGGGATCACATTGTTTCCAGATTTGGTTCTGATTGGTTTGATGAACTGCCAGAGCCAGCGTTCGAACTGTCAACTTCGCTTACAAATTTCCCAAGATAATCCCCAAATGTGCCTGTATTATCACTATTCTTGTAGGTAAAAAAGTATGGTGATTCCTATAAGATAAAATTGAACAATTATTGTTACACTTACATATTTACAAAAACGTTGTAATTATGTATATATAAAGCATATATATATGATGGTATTAATTGAGAAAATATGGAATTAAAGTAAACGAAGCGGTTGTAAAGTTTCTATCTTTCTTGCACTTTCCAAAATACCACTCTGCTACTCGTATTTGTTTAATAATTATAACAACAACAACAACAACAACAAAAACAGCAACAACAATTAAACCAATTATGAGCCTTTCCAGCTACCATAAGGAGAATCAATGTTTCGGCCTTCTGGTTTAACGTTCGAAAAGTTGATCATTTAGTCTTCCAAATAGGTAATAGGAATAAATACCATATCACCGACATGAAACTAAATGACAACCGGCGAAATATGGGTAAAATAATTCCGCTTTAAAAAAAACAACAAAGAGATTAGTCAGAAATACTTACGCCACTTGGACACTCCACTTTTTCTCCAGGTGTCCATTTTGTGCGTTTCTTCCCGAATGGTTCAATCTGTAAAAGTATAGTGTTTATTCACATGACTGAATGTCACTTTTCCATTAAAACTACACAAGTGGCATAAATCACGTATACCACCACATTCCGCTGTTTAGTCACACAAAGGATGAAAAGTGAGACAGCAGGCTAGCGTGACAAAGGGGCGGAAGGACAGGCGAACGGGCAAACCTACATGTATATGCATTATTATGTTAAAACATGTAAAAGCAATCATATGCTCCTACAATAAGATGTACATGTACAGCCGTTTGGGTTATCTTTCAAACAAGAGTTTTCTCTTACGTATGCTAGACCTTATCCAACCCTTAGCTTGTTCAAAGACCTGCTTGCGACAAATTCTACCTTTGCAACCAGTACAGACCAAGATCAGCCAGCACATCCGTGTCGTCTGATCATGGTTCGCACTGTTATCTATTCGGTCACATATCGTTATACTGGAACCACCCAAGTTGAAAAAAGGCCAATTGAAGAAACTAAAAATACCACTTAATATGTATACGCAACAATTATGTCGTGCTGAACGATCTTCAAGGATCGAAAATATAACATCTTTGATTAAATGTACTGGATAACTTGACATAAAAAGTCAAAGTTGACATATGGATACGTCAAAGGAATGTGCAGGTCAAGTTCGAATTTGGTCATGGTTCGATGATTTTGTTGATGAGTTATGCCTCTTTAACTTCGAACAAGAGGACATTTTCAGTTTCCGTTAATTATATCCCCAACAGTTGTATATATTCAACTCAAATTTATATGGATATGTCATAGGAATACGCTGGTCAAGTTCGAATTTGGTGATTGTTTGATGATTTCTGGCAGAGTTGTACCTTTTGAACTTTTGGAAAAAAGGTTTCCCCAACAGGAATACACTTTCAATTTAAATTCGACATACTGATACATCTTAGGAGTTTGAATTCGGTCATGGACAAAGTTATCTCTCTTGAACGTTGGAAAAAAATTGAACACTCTTACTTTTGTGGAAACGGATGTAGTCATTATCTTGGCTACAAATATGCAATATGAAATTTGCAAACGGTTATCACTGAATAGTTCCATGGCCTTGATCTTTGTATAAAAATGGATTGTGGTGTGAACATTGAATAGTTGAGAGGCTTTGAACTTAGAATAAAAAATAAAATTGTTTTAAGAAAAATGTTTTTTTTTTTTTGTATTGTTTCAAACAAATTTATGAAATTATAGATGACTTTTTTTGTTTTTCTGCGTTCGAGGCTTTTTAATTGTAATAAACTTGTTCTTACATTTTGTAATTACTTTTTCCGATTTTTGTCCTGGTAGATACATGATTTTTAAATCCGCCCATTATATAATATTTGATAAAGTAGGAATCAACCATTTCAATTTCTCGTCGTAGCAAATCAATCCAGACTGGAGGGAGAAGAATATTAGAAGGACGATTAAACAAAATTTAAAAAAGAAAGGATTTACAGTTTGTTGATAAGTATTCTGTAACCAGATTTGGACTCGTATCATTTATTTCAAAGTCATTCCGACGTTTATATAGGTTATATCTTC